GATCCCAAATCCATTTTACAAATCCTAAAAAAATGAAGAGGCTCTGTCCAAACCCACCCTGAAGGGATTTCAGATTTCCTGCTCACCCCTCACCACCTGCCAAATTCAGCACCTCCCTCCYTCACCCCTGCCATGGAAAAACCCTTGGAAAATTAAAATATCCTTTAAAATTATCCCTGAGATGATTTCCAGCCTGGAACAGCACAACCAGCAACTCCCTGGTTGAGAAACCTCTGGGTTTCTTCTCAAAAAATTAATTTTTGTATTAAAAAAAACACCTAAAAACACTTTTGGTGTTGCCCAGAGGACTGGGAAAATAAAAAAAAAAGGATTTTGGAGAGATTTCAACAACAAAGTGCAAATTGCTGCTGCAAAACCCTCATCAGAATAATTGTGAGGAGAAATTTCCCCCTCTGGATTTCACTGGAACGTTCCCTTTCCCAAATTTCCATTTTTAACACCTCCCCAAGCAGCACCTGCAGCTTTCACAGTGAAAAAAATAAACTTTTTTCACCTCAATAAACCCATAAATCCCACAATTTACCGGACTGGGAGTTTCCTTCATTTTCTGTTCTGCTATTTTGAGGTTGGATTTATACGTTTCGTTGTCTGGATCCAACTCCAGAGCTTTTTTGTAATAAACGACGGCTTCTGTGTGTTTGTTTAAGCTGGAGAGGGCCAAGCTGGGAAAAAAATAAATAAAATTAAAATTGGAGAATCAGTTTGGGGTTTTTTTTTTATCCAATTGTTGTTTCTCTGGTTTTCAAGTTGAGAAATGTGAAAATTTTTTCTCTGCCTCAAAAAAGGGGAAACACTGAGAATTTTTTTGTGGTAGAAAATAGGGAGAAAATGTGGCAGAAAACAGGGATAAAACATGGCAGAAAACACGGACAAAACAAGGTAGAAAGTAGGAATAAAAGAGGTATAAAATATGGCAAAAAATATGGGAAAAATAGGGATAAACATGACAGAAAGTAAGAATAAAACATGGTAGAAAATAGGGATAAACAGGGATAAAACGTGGCAGAAAACAGGGATAAAACACGGGTAAAGCATGGCAGAAAACGGACAAAACATGGCAGAAAATAGGGATAAAACAAGGTAGAAAGTAGGAATAAAACAGGGGTAAAATATGGCAGAAAATAGGAATAAAACAGAGATAAAGCATGGCAGAAAATAGGAATAAAACAGGGATAAAATATGGCAGAAAGCAGGAATAAAACATGGTAGAAAATAGGGATAAAACATGGCAGAAAATGGTGATAAAACATGGCAGAAAATAGGGATAAACATTGCAGAAAACAGGAATAAAACAGGGATAAAACAAGGTAGAAAGCAGGAATAAAACAGGGATAAAACATGGCAGAAAATAGGTGTAAAATGGGGATAAAACATAGCAGAAAACGGATAACACATGGCAGAAAATAGTGATAAAACAGGGAAAAACAAGGTAGAAAGTAGGAATAAAATAGGGATAAAACATGGCAAAAAATAGGAATAAAAGAGGAATAAAACATGGCAGAAAACAGGGATAAAACGGCAGAAAACAGGGGTAAACCATGGCAGAAAATGGAAAAACATGGCAGAAAATAGGGATAAAACAGGTATAAAATATGGCAAAAAACAGAGATAAAACATGGCAGAAAATACAGATAACACATGGCAGAAAATAGGAATAAAACAGGGATAAAACATGGCAGAAAGCAAGAATAAAATATGGCAGAAAATAGGGATAAAACATGGCAGAAAATAGGGATAAAACATGGCAGAAAATAGGGATAAAACATGGCAGAAAATAGGGATAAAACATG